TGCAACTGACCAAATCCTCATAGTTGTGGCCAGCTTAACGTACAACAGATATCAGACTGATGTTGATGTCAAGTACATCTGATTACTATTATCTGTAAAAATGGACCAAAAAAAAAGAAAGAAAAAACTCCCAGGATTCAAGATAACTGCTACTGTTTTTACACACATTAAATACTTTCATCAATTTCTTTACATAACTATGTAATGCAGCATCAGAAACTACATAAACAACTCAATGCACATCACCTGCATTAGGTTTTATAGCGTTGCCCAATCTGTACCACATGTTTGCCTTCCTATGACATTGTATTACTGGATTAGGTGTGGGAAGTATATTTCATTAGATGTACTCCAATTTTAGCAAATTCTGAACATGCACCAGACATGCATATCACTATAAACCAGCGTTTGATGCAGAAACCACTGTATAAGTAGCTTTATTCTCTTTCCTAGTTTAATGCTACTTTAGTATTAAGTAGACCTGTGTCTGGAGTTCCTTATGTTAACTGAACTTTTAAACATGCTGGGTGATGTGATATCCTACTTTACTGTCTCATTTATTGTACCTTGCATAAATAAGACCTAGAAATGCAGCTTTGCTGGTTAGATGCACTTGGTGCAGCAGACAGATAACCCGTACAAACCGCCACCTATGTTAAAACAATGTATATTTTAGGACATCTTCTCACCACAGAGTCAGGTTTCACATATCAAAAAAGGACTTCATATCTCCGAAAAAAATGTAGTAAAATTGAGTAAAAAAAATCATGTCTCGGCTCTCGTACATCAGGCGAAATGGGCCTTTTTAAACAGCCTCAGGCAAAATGGCTTTAGTGGAGAAGCCATCAGGCTAAGTGACTGCAAACCCTCGGACAGTAAATGTCCAGTGCTTGGTCCCACGTCTGCTTCAGTGTGAAGGGTTTTTACAAAATTACTGGATAAAAAGGTGGATTCCCAACCCAACCTGATTTAACTGTTCACTGTTACTTTCCACATGGTACCTGAATAAGAGGACTAAGAGGCACAGTACCAAGGCCTAGTACTTAGTTTCTGCCATTCATTCATGGATGAAAACATTCAGGTTGGAGCACATTGAGGTGAGAGGAATATGGATAAAAACCTGCTCATATATAATATAATTTTAATATAAGTAAAACTAATATTATTTTTGGTTTGGCATGAGAGCCAGTTATATCTACAGTTGAATCTCAAATGGATCCCTACTCCCTATGTACTGTAATGCACAGGTGCAGTAAATGATAGATAGGATGTAGTGCAGCTTTGCCAGCTTAGATAAAAAAAATAAATAAAAAAAGAAAGCTATAACAATTAAAATGAAGAGATATTCAATATTTAATTCTGCACCATTTCTATGGCCACTATTTACACTGAACCAAATGTGTGAAACTGACCATGTTGATGCCTTTGTTAAACAAGGTCAGATGTTTTTCTGTCATCTTATTAGGGGACAAACCAAAACTAAGAAATTCTGAAATTCATGTAAACATTCAAAGATTCTAGTATTCACTAAAACGTATGCTAATAATATCATTTGTAATGAAAAACATTATATTTAATTAGAAAGAAATACAAATAGAAGCATTTGCGCCAGTGGTCTCAGAGTTTTGGACCCCGCTGTACAATGCACTGTTTGTTAGTAGAAGCTGTTATTTTCAGAAGGGAGCCTTCTGATTAAGCCCAGCTTTGTTTTGCTATTGTCACTGTAGTGTCCATAAAGGCTATGAATGTTATCATACACAAAGCAAAACCACTCAGGTAGATAATTATACCTTAAAGCTGTGTTTTCGCTGATAAACAGGTAGGATAGCATGCCAACTGAGCACGGAGGAGTGAAAAATACACATGTAATTACTACTAGGGACTATGACCGTTTTGTTATGGCTCATCTACTGCCATAAAATGCTCACACATGTGCAGTATGGATCAGGTAGTGTCATCAGGTGCCAATAAGGTAATGTGCTATATGCATGTGTGATGGTGGTGCACAAGTGCAGTACAAATGGAGCAAAGATGCAGATGGGGTGGAGACAGAGTATAAGCTCCTGTTAACTATTAGCAAATTTAGCCTAGTAGATCCAGTGACTAACAAAAACATATTGGCTAGTTGACTACATTTGGGTTAAAAGCGAGAAAATTGTGTACATTTGATTTTAACTGAACTATCTCTTTAAAGAAGCGGAATCAAGAAATGTCTTGAACTAAAACATTAATTTGCACCATATAAAGTAGTTCAGAGTCATGAAGTTTACTGTAACTATAACTTTATGCGAACAGGTCAGCCAACTGTGGTGCCTCCCAATGTTAAGTAATGCACATGTTTTGCTTCGGTATGCAAAATCTGCCTGATTAATTCTGGAATGTATGTATATATAGAATACAGAATGCAGCGCTTGTGACTTGTTTACTAGATATTTTCCTCTAAATGCAAACGGTTGGCCACAGCACTGTGTGATCCAGGGTAAAGATGTGGGCAGAAGCACACAAAAATAAGAGGACTGGTTGACTGATCAAAAATAATGACCCCAAGAGGACCGCTGTAATGACTCGGAACACTTCTCCCTATCGGTCCTCCGTATGCATGGCTGAACACACACACACACACACACACACACACACACACACACACACATGCTGTTTCTTCTTGGAGGACACACAGTTCTGTGGCAGAGGCAAATCCAACAAACGAGAAAAAGCCAGAGAAAGAATAAAGGCCTGAAGGACACTGAACTGCGCAACGCCACATTTGTGCTGTGAACTGTTCAGTTTTAAGGTGCATATTTCACAAGCTCCCAAAATTCAAGTGGCAATAGCTGCAAGATATTTGGGTAGATGTTATTAGTGCTTAACAGCTTCCTAGACAACATAAAACAATTTAAGTCCATTACATCTCTTGGAACTGAAAGCCACATGACGTAGGGTGTGAGCGCTTATGAGCACAATGGCACATGGATCATGATTAAAATCTAATTGAAGGCGGCTATGGTTCTGCAAAAGATGTAAGTGCCAGTTGTTGGTAATCTGAACAAACATGTTTTCAAGCTCTAATTGTTTTCTTTACACTATTACTGCTGTTAAGCAATGGAAGCAAAAGCCCAAGTACTGGCACGTAATTGCTTAAGAACAGTTTCCCAAGCTCTTAAAGCAGTTAAATTGTCTTAAAAATAAAGGATTTTACACAGTTGAAGACTCTGGCTTTAGAAATCGAAGACTGTGGAATATAGCCTTCCTGCATTTTCACCCTACTGGGGATGTAAGGAATCTACAAAGCTTTTTATACTGCAATCTGAGCTAAATGTCAGGGATTGTTGTTGAGGGACATATGACATTTCGAAAACCTGTATTTGCAGAGACTGCAGTACAGGCTAGAAGTCTTAGTGATTATGGTACGGTCTTAGTGATTACAGTACAGTCTTAGTGAGGATGGATGGATGGGACAGACAGACAGACAGACAGACAGACAGACAGACAGATAGATAGATAGATAGATACATAGATGCACATACAAAAAGACTCTATTAAGCTGAGACCACTGTACAGCTTTATAGGCTCCAACTAATTTGTAGGAAGCTATAAAATGAAGAAACAATAAAATGTGTTCAGAGTAATGAAGAGAGCCCTTATGATTCCATAACAAATAAAAAAGCTGTAGAACACTGAGACTGAAGTTCTCATAAAACATGGTGATCAAATCTCGAAGCAGATAACTGTAAATAATTACAGTAAATTATTCATCATTTAAAAAAATTCAGGTTTCTAAAAACTTTAAATATTGACTAATACATCTTGAAATACTATTAATTGTAGCTTACAGTATTTTAGTCTACACTGTATAAATGACTGCTGAATAAAAGAACAACAACTGCTAATAAAGTGATTACAAATTGTTGAATGGTAGCGTAATTTATCAAATGTGTAATAATTTAATAACTTAAATAGGTTCAATAATTAGCTTAAATAACACTATGCATTTAAGGTAACCAGGTTACTTTGACCAGGAACCAGATAAGACATTGATTTTTGAACAATGTATAGTGTTATTTAGGCTAACTGCTAAACCTTTTCAAATTAAGTTATTAAAAATTTGGTAAATTACACTACCATAATACCATAATATAATAACCATAATAACTTGTCAGATTAGCAATTGTTGTTCTTTTATTCAGCAGTAATTTATACAATGTAGACTAAAATACTATACGGCCACTTTTTTAGGCAACCAGGTTACAAACTTAAAATGCTACAGTGTTGGTTTTTCTTTTTAATGCAAGTTTATATTTGTAAATATGACTGCATCCATTCCTTAATATGTTTTATAAAATAATAAAATATGTACATGTTTGCATATGATACAACTTTAGGAAGTCTGCAGTGGGACTGATTAGATTAATGATGTTATGATTATGGTGCACACAGATGTCTTTGTGACTGTGATACAGTGGCAGGACATGATTTTGGGTTCAGTCAGAGGAACACCACAGTTTGCTAATCTGGTAAATGTCCTTTGCTGCAAAGCTTAAAGCAGTATTTATGTGCTTGGCCAGGAATTTACTAAGCTTGAGTTGCAACTACTGCTGCTAGTATTTAACATTCCTCATAAGGTCCAGTTGACAAGGTTAGCTAGGTGAGTGGAGTTCAATGAAGTAACCAGGGTCAAAATAAACACACTGACATTGTTCATGAAAAGGTATATGACAACAAGACCTGGACTACACAGAGTACTGAAAGTAGCTTTTAGTCAGTAGACAGTTGTCTTTGGTCAATCAGAGAAAGAAAGGACGATCTTATTTGTGCATTAGCTTATCGGTGCTGTTCCGCTAGCTTAAGAGCATGCCAAAGGTTAGTATTATTAATTTTTATCACTTTTGAGGCGACACCACCTCTGCAGCTGTATTGATTTTTGTACATTCTTAGGGATTATGCTTCTGTCAGAAGTCATGGTGACAGTGAGCAGTCAGAGTTTGGCATTCTGGGCAACTTACCCTGTGATGTGGGGAGGTTCGGTAGTGAGCAGAGCCAGCGGAGGTTTATCTCTCTCGATGAGCCACACTGTGTAGCGCCCTTTCTGCCTGGGGTGCAGAAACACTGTCACATCCAATTCACAGGGCCAATAGAGCGCACGCAGCCACGGACTCAGAACCCACGGCCCTTCCAGAGCCGAGCCGTTCACTGACAGAAAGCGCCCTGAAAAGGAGAGAAAAAGAGGTCATGCGTATGCAAAACGCTGAATGAATGCCTCCATTACCAATATGCCCTTCACAACGCGTTTCATTTGTGAAGATTTGGACTTCTCCCTGCGCGCGGTGTTCACCGCAGGCCTCCGCAAGGAAAAAGCACCGACGTGGACGGTGGGCGAGCTGCAATATCAAACTCTCAGACCTAGAGCTCCTGCACCAACACGTGAACACAGACAAGAGTCAAAGAGATAAATAATGAAATAAATAATGAAAGAGAGGAGAGAAATCAAAGCTCTGTCTGTGGGCTTTGATTTGCAGTCCCCTCTCTCAACAGCCTTATTCAGCTCCTTCAATCAGCAACTTTTGCAGAGGGCGGGGGAAGAAGAAAGACGAAAGAGTTCTTTTGAAAGAAAAGAAATGGAAACATCATCATTTGGAGAGAAAGAAAAAATCTGGAATGCCCCATTTTCAGTGTTCAGACAGTATCTGTATCCTTTTAGCTGTTTTGTGTAAGACTTATTATTTATTTATTTTTTTTTAACTTTCACCAGAAGCTACATCATTCCATAACGGTCGCTGTCTGTTTGACAAAGATGTTTACCACAATTCCAGACTTACTACAAAACCATTATTCACTGTGATTAAGTGACTATTAGCATGTGCATAGATCTACACTAATGAGAAAATCCCCAATAGTAATGTAAAGTAATGGATTATGCTGGTCTAGTTACCGTATGCGAGTGCAATTTTCTCAATGCTGAATGTTACGGTTTTCCGTAACCTGTCAGAGGCAATGCAGAGCTGTGGGAACTCTAATGCAGATATTTATAAAAATGTGCCCATGCAGGCATTTTGCACATATTTACTCTCCTCGGATTTTCATAAATGAGGCCTGCTGTATCTGTGAGTTTGCTTGAGGCTTTGAGCGACAAAACCAGATGCTGTAAAACCTGTGTAACAATTTAAATGTACACATTGAGAACCTTTTTACTATGACATTGTGGGATTCCCAATTTGGGAGGCTTAACAGAATGAGGCAAAATGAAAAGATAATGAAATAAATCCAGGGGGTGAACATGGCTGAATGGAAATGCTGTTGGAGCGTGGCCTGGGGAACTGGGGAAAAGAGGCAATTTGTCTCTGTTCTATGGCCGCAGTTGCACCTTCTTCAAAAAGAGTTTTTTTTTTTTCTGTTTCATTGTGCTCTCTTCAAGATGGCTCTCCTGTCCAGCAGACACCAGGGGAGGTGGGGGTGGGCTTTCCAAAGCCCTGTGAACAGAAGCAGTTTAGGTAGAGCTCATTATAGGCCTTGGTCCCATTTGCATGATCCACAATGTACTCCAGACAGTCTGGCAGCTGAAGCAGGAGCGCTTCCAGCAGGTTTTCTCCCACCGTGTCCCGCAGCCCACACAATCTTACGGCCGCGCTGGCTACCGCAAAGCAGCTCCTGCACTAAGCAGGAGAAACCCATTAAAGCCCATGGGAGAAAAATGTCCTCTGATCACACTGAGGAAGGTGGTGAAATAGCCACTGCAAACAATTACCAGCAAGTCAGATTCTCAGCATGAGTAAAACTTGCAAAGCAGCAATGGAAGTGATAAAGTACTTAAAAAGGGCCTGTATCTACTGTGATATTTCAATATCCCCAGAAAGACTCTGTGAGGCTAAAACACTATGTTTGAATGATGTCAGACACTTTGGGACAGATTTATAAGGGATTGTGCAAAACCTGCAGCATATGGTAACATTTAGCAAGTGCAGACAGCTCTAGACAGGTTTACTATGACCTGCTGTTTAAATGACCTAAATCATCTACAAACTGCCTAATTAGACTGATGATGAAGTCAAAAAAATGTCCAGCATTTCAAAGATCATAATGGGGAGAAACTTAAAATGTTTTTGACATTATTAATTTAAAACATTATTATTTGAAAATGCCACGTACATATATACTATATTACTACAAATTAATATTTAGCTCCCATACTGTCTCACTCCAGTGATTATACTTACTCAGTGACTTTTTAGTTGTCATTGATGAAACACTGTTGAATGGGGGGAAGACATACATGAGCATGTGTTCTGACTTTTGCGTTTTTTGATCAGGCATAACATTGTGACCACCTCCTTGTTTCTACACTCAGTGTCCATTTTATCAGCTCCACTTACTATATAGGTGCACTTTGTAGTTCTACAATTACAGACTGTAGTCCAGTTAAACAACTCAATGTCACTGCTAGACTGAGAATAGTCCACCAACTATAAATATCCAGCCAACAGCATCCTGTGGGCAGCGTCCTGTGACCACTTATGAAGGACTAGAGGATGACCAACACAAACTGTACAGCAGCAGATGAGCTATCGTCTCTGACTTTACATCTACAAGGTGGACTGACAAGGTAGGAGTGTCTAATAGAGTGGACGGTGAGTGGACACATTGTTTAAAAACTCCAGCAGCACTGCTATGTCTGATCCACTTGTACCAGCACAACACACACCAACACACCACCACGTCAGTGTTACTGCAGTGCTGAGAATGATCTACTACCCAAATAGTACCTGCTCTGTGAGGGTCCATTGGGGCCCTGACCACTGAAGAACAGGGTAAAAGGTGGCTAACAAAGTATGCAGAGAAACAGATGGACTACAGTCTGTAACTGTAGAACTACAAAGTGCACCTATATAGTAAGTGGAGCTGATAAAATGGACAATGAGCGTAGAAACAAAGAGGTGGTCATAATGTTATGCCTGATCGGTGTGTATATATATATATATATATATATATATATATACACACCGATCAGGCATAACATTATGACCACACACATATATATATATATATATGTATCACTGCTGTTGGAAGAAAACTCCAAAACTACTTGGAAAAAAGTCTGGTTCCACTGACGTACATTAAAAGTAAAGCACATTTTTTCCTTCTGTATTTTATATTATTTTGGAGATACAATGTTTTGTTCAGACAACAGCGATACATGAAAATAAGTCGATAAACTTAAATTTTCTTTATTTATTAGTAAGAGCTAACTTTGGAAAAGTCAAAAATAAGGAAAAAAGTAAAAGAAAACTGTTAAACAGATGAAAAAAAAAAATCATAAGAAAACAAGAATGGTTTAAGAAAAAAACCATGCGTTTTTATGTGAAAACACAAAAGAGGAGATTGCTTTTAAAAACAAATCTGTCTTCTCTCACACTACGATTTTCAAAATAACTGTAGATCCTTGTTCCTGGCATTAAATAACATACAATTTTTCCAGTCAGTTCTGACATGTACATCACTCCAGGTTGTTAATTTGCATAGTCTCCTCCTCTATACCAGCACCTCAGCAGTGCCACTCCTTAAAACAAAAAAATGACATCATCTGCCCAAAATGTCTTCTGCACAAAATGCATTAGTACCATTCCGAACAGTCCCAGTCCAAAAGTTTGTAGACACCTGCTCATCCAAAGTTTCCTCCTAAATTAAGGATATTAATATGGAGTTGTTCTCTTCTTTGCTGCAGTAACAGTGTCTACTCTCCTATGCTAGATGTTGGAACATTGCTGTGAGGATTTGAGTGCATTCAGCCACAAGGACATTAGTGAGGTGAGGTGCTGATGTTGTATGAATAGTTCTGGATCACTCCAACTCAACCCAAAGGTATTGGATGGAGTTCCATCGTCTAGAAAATGCAGCTCCACTGCTCCCCTGCCCAGTGCTGTAGTGCTTCATACCTTCTATCTAAAATCTAACATGGCTCAAGACTCATGGTGGCTGTGGCTAAAGTGTCCCATTCTATTTGTCAGTGCTTTTCTATGACGATTACACAAACTGTGTGTTGAACAATTAAACGCTTGTGTCAGTACTGGGTGCACCTTAAAGTAGCTGAATTCTCTAATTAGAAGAGGCGTCTGGATACTTTTGCACATGTAGTGTATCTTCTTCCTGAATTCTGACGGTTGGCCTCGAAACAGCTCACAGATGAATCCTCTGCCCCTCTGAAACACATGCACGTTTATCATAACTTAAGAAGTTAATTGCTTACATGTTATCAGTTTGGACGACTGCTGCAAGACAATCTGCATCCAGAATGATAGCTACACCCCAAAATTATCATCACCAGGACAGCACACCTACTCATTCTCATACGGCATTACAAATTTAATCAGCACAAAGCATTTGCCTGATAGAATACCAAAACAGTGCTAGTGTTTGCAAGCATGCTATTTTGCAGAGATAATACAATCCTAGTGAAAGGCTGGGGAGAAAATAAACAATTTGAATGTATTTTCCTTAAATCCTCTTATTAAGACACTGTTTTATCCCTTTGGATGGGAGGCGTGGTGTCCGTGGCTTGCAACATTTTTTTTTCAATTGCAGATTATAGTATACTACCAAACTGTGCTAAATTGCTTTAATGCTCCAGACCATTTACTGACCCCATAAAAGAAAGCAGCTGAGTATGTTTTTATCCTAATTTTACTTTTTTTTTTTAAGAGTCTTTAGTGGAAAAATCTCTGCATACAATGGAGCTAAAAGCAGAGGCATGACTAAAAACATGATTTACATGTATATTTAAGTGCTACCATCATACTCTACTGTAAATGAACTATCTGAATGTGTCCTACAGCATGAAGTCTATTTGCAAGTGAAACCACGAAAATGCATTTGCATTTAGAAACATTTTGAAGCTTCTTTGTCATTGCCTCAAGAAACTGGTGGAGCACTCAGGCTAGACAAAAGAACATGACTTTTGACAAGTCTTCTTCATGCAGGTCCTCTGTTCCGCATGCAATTTGTTCCATGGTAAGGTTTGACAGCATTAGTTTGCAAATTGTTTACAGTGATAGTAAAACCCATTCAGATACTTCAAAATACTATTAGAATATAGAGTGTCGGCCACACTGAACCTATCGAAACCTAACCCTAACCTGAGAGAACCTTTGATTGTGTTTCGGCTAGGGGGCGGCATTTCGCAAAATTGAATGGAAAGCGTGGTCAACCAGTTTGTA